GATTCAGTTCTCGCAGGTCCCTCAGCACCCGCCGCCTACAAAGGAGAGGAAACCACCTCATGCAGAGGGTAGTTGAGTTGTGTTGCACCAGGGAGCTCCACCATCCTCTGAGTTGCAGGCCGCCTAGGAGCAGGTCAAATGACAAGTCCACCAGGCAGTTCGCCACCAGGCAACTCGCCACCAGGCAATTCGCCACTAGGCAGCTCGCCACCGGGCAGTTCTCCACCAGGGAGTTTGCCACCAAGCAGTTCGTCACCAAGTATCTCTCCACCAGGGAGCTCGCCACTAGGCAGTTCGTCACCAAGTAGCTTTCCACCAGGGAGCTCGCCACCAGGCAGTTCGCCACCAGGGAGCTCGCCACCGGGCAGTTCTCCACCAGGGAGTTTGCCACCAAGTAGTTCGTCACCAAGTAGCTCTCCACCAGGGAGCTCGCCACTAGGCAGTTCGTCACCAAGTAGCTTTCCACCAGGGAGCTCGCCACTAGGCAGTTCGCCACCAGGCAGCTCGCCACCGAGCAGTTCTCCACTAGGGAGTTTGCCACCAAGCAGTTCGTCACCAAGTAGCTCTCCACTAGGGAGCTTGCCACCAGGCAGTTCTCCACCAGGGAGTTCGCCACCAAGTAGCTCATCACCAAGGCACGTCACTACCGGGTCAAATAATGAGGTACTTAGCCAAAAAAAAATTATACATCACAAAAAATGGTACGTGACCAGAAATGGTTACATCAGTTTTTGTTCTTCAAGATGTATTGTTTATTTAGGAAATCACGTGGCAACAATTCTTCTTACCCATTTCTGTGGAATAAATATCCGTCTGCTGGTAGGTATGTTTGGTTAAAGTTCTAAATCAAAGAATCATTATACAAAGAACGAATTTTGAGCCTAGGCTGTGTTTGGTTGCAGTCCAATGCTATTTGTACTAGTACAAATGTAAAAAATGCAAAATTCTTGTTTAATTTTGTTTTGAATTCTACTTTATTCTGTTTTATGTATTAATTTAATTCATTTGTATTGTAACCAAACAAAATAAGCTAATTAAAACTTAAAACAAGAATATGTCAGAGCATCAATGCACAGCCTAAAAACAAAAATGATTATTATTATAATGAGTTTGGGCCTAGAAAAAAAAAACAAATCAGTTCCAACAACTTTCAGATATCCGAACTTGAAAATGATTCTTAAAATCACACAATTCATCGGGATTAATGTCTCTAAAACCATGCAAACCATAAAGCCTAAATCAAAAGATCGGATGGCACTCAAACGCAATTACAAAAAGAGATACACCCAAAGCTCATATGTCCAATTCCATAATCCAAATTAAATCAGTCTTAGCCCCTGGCCTGGTGGCATCATTGGGTTTTAGCACATATTGATGTAGATATTTAGCTCACCATGACAAAGCTCATATGTAACGGCATGTAGAACAAATTTTGGAACCAAACGATCCCTTCATGGATTGGAGTGATGTGGGTTAGTTAAATGTGGATCATTGACTATACCATGAGATCATGTGTTTGAATCCAGCTTACCAAGAGACGCAAAATTCAAAAATAAATAAAATAAAAAAAGATAAACCATTGACGTACTATATATAGTGAACTTTAGGTTTATGGTATTCCAATTCTCGTGTAATATTATTGTAAATAAACCCTTGAATTGTGGGATGATGATTCCTTTGTGATAACTTAAAGTTAACCTTTCAAAGACCTTATTATTCTTTAGTCTGCAAGTTGCTTTGAGAGAAGTCATCCCTTTCAAAGCTCAAAGCTCAGTTGGAAGAAGAATTATAAAACCCAATTGGGCAAAACTACTTTCTGTTGATCCCGTCCTCTAAGTTGCTTTTATAATAACTTCAATCCTCAATTCCTCTGACTTGACCACTGACCCAAAGACCTAGAGAGATCAATTAGAACCAAGCATTTTATATTTCAATTTAGATCCACCATTCAATGAACGTTTTTTTTTTAATACTAGAGACCAATATAATAGAAAAAGAAGGGACAAAATACTAGGCCCTTTCATTTACCAAATGGTCTTTGGTGTATTATCCTTTTCACATGTAGTTTGGAAAAGTGCAACTCTAGAAAGATTCTTTCACATTTTCTTCTTCTACAGAGTGGATGCATGCCTAATCACTTCCCTTTAATGTACCATTGTGAATGCAGAATCGATTTGATGATGAGAACCATCAAGCAATCTGACTGTCATTATCTCTACTACCACTCGAGATAGAGTGATGGATCCAGCTTTGCTTCTTTGTCACTTGTCTTCTCTCTTCTCTTGTGTTCAGTCACGAATGCATAGTTTCCTACAAAAAAAAACAAAGATATTTGGTAGTCTCAAACCTCAATATTGCTCGGTTAGGACTTATGAGGTCTGAAGTGAATTTGTTGGACCCACCCCAATAGGAAAGTTGTTGGAAAATGATTGGACGTCTCCACCACTGCACCTACCTACCTCTACCTCTGATGCTTTCTCTCTCTCTGGTTTGTCTCTAATTTGGTATTATCGGTGCTAGGTAGAGAGGATAATATCCACTAATTAATTTCTTTTATCAAGGCTTTATGACCACTTTGTGGCTAAGAGTTCCCCCACAAGGTCTTCAACCTTGAAACCCAAAAGCTATGGCTTTCTTTATCTATAAACAACGTGGTAGGTCATTCTCTTATATTGTCAACTTTTCATGAAAATATTGTATATTTTCTTCTTTCTTCCCCCATGTCATTCTCTTGTATGCCATGAGACATACTTTGTCTAAGGGTGGCATTTACTACTTATTAGTCCAATCTGCCTTTTGATGTGTCTTTAATCTGTTTTCTAGTTGTTTGGTTCAGCTAATCCTAGCTCAGTTTAAAATTTCAAATGGGTTTGATAGGTTCACATTGGACAGTCTAGTTAAAGGTCCAATCCCAATCGCCTCCTCACCCTAATAAACCAAAGTTGGTTTTGGGTTGTGCATCTAACAAAAAAGACCCCACTATAGCTATTAGCTCTGGCTTCAAATCCCCGGCCGAATTTGCTTTTGATTCGTCTTCAATCTTAGCGAACGTCGTGAGTCGTAAGTCATAACTACCGGCCAAGTGTAAAAGACTCGTATGTATTCAATTCCATTGTGCATTTGTGCGTGTGCACGGGTGAATTGACTGCATTTGCCCATGAAGAGACCTCAGACTCACAGACAGAGACTTGGGAAGGTGTAACATCAAAACTGTTAAGAACCCTAAAAAGAAAACTGAAAATCTATGACAAATAACATATTTGGAGCAAAGATCTTGGTATCCCCACAAAAAAAAAAAAAAAACAAAAAACTTAGCTTTAATCAAGTAAAAAAGTAATGGGTAAAATGTCCTCAAAGAAAGCTTTAATAATGGAAACATGTAATCATGCATGTAACACAGAGAAACAAAATTAGATCAGGCAAAAAGGTAGGAGATCAGAGAGAGAGAGATTCCTTTAGTGTGGCCGTGTGGGTCCCTGCACAGCTCAAGTTGTAGGCCATGATGGGTAATGAAGTAGAGGATCTAGAGGCGTGGAAAGGGAAAAAAAATAAAGGAATTGGATGGCTTTTCCCTCTCTTTCTCTTGCTCAGTTCCCCCTATAGTCTTTTGGCAGACTTCTTTAATCAATCCTTCGTCTCTTTTTTGACTCGGGCTTGTCTTGTTCTTTTCCACCATTCTCTCAGTGCGGTCAGTGGGAACAAATTAAGAAACAAATACAGTGGGAACATATTACAGAAAAAACTCGGTGGGAGCAAAGTAAAAATGAAAAAAAAAACAATTGTAGACCATGCAGCAATCCAACAACTCTCAAGAAATATATAATATTAATATATTTGAAAAGTAAAATCAGATACATAATTAAAAGAAAGGAAAATATTAGAATACTTTCTGGTCTCTTTATGAGTTTTTCTTGAAATTGCAATCAATCGAATTAGCTTGCAAGTTACAACAATAGAGACAGACTAGAGGAAGGAAACAACGTAAAGAAAAGAGGAAAACGAAAACAAAAACAGAAAGGGAACAGAAATAAGGTCCAACGGCTACATTTCACACCCTCTTACTTTTTGTTTTTTGGGTAGGGGGGATTCGGCATTCGGACCCCACGAATTTGCCTCGCGTTGATTTCGGTCTGTTTGTTACAAATCTCTCAGCTCATTAAAGCCATCTACCTTCCATCCTCCGCAATTCCCGCAGAGTGGAACCAAGCCGGGGAAGGATAGTAGGATACAACAACAACAGCTCTCACCCTCTCCACATCAAAAGAACCTGTTACTTATAGGGTTTTAGCCGGTTCCCCCGATCTCTCCTTGTTCTGCAATCCCCATTTGAGCTAATCTGTGATAATTCCCCATCTTCGACCCATTTCCTGATCTGGGTCGTTCTGGGGTTTCTCCAATTCGGTCGATGTCCTCAGGTTTCGCTCAGTAATGGGTTGCATTACGTCGAAGCAGGCGGTTTCTGTAACCCCTGCTTTTGATCATTCTGGGGCGTTCCGGGACAACGGATCCGGGGTTTCGGCTTCTTCACTGCGAAACCGATCCGGGTTGGTCGAATTGGAGAACAAGAAGAAGAAGAAAAAGAAGGCCGAGTCAGGAGATGCTGCTAGCGAATTGGGGGAGTCAAAGAGGGGGAGCTCTAATGGCGGGGATTCCTTTAGCTTGAGATTGGGAAATCTGCCTAAATATGTGGAAGGGGAGCAAGTTGCAGCCGGGTGGCCTGCTTGGCTGAGCGCCGTCGCGGGCGAAGCTATTCAAGGATGGGTGCCCCTCAAAGCCGATTCTTTTGAGAAACTGGAGAAGGTAGGGTAGAATCTTACGTAAACCATCCTACCCGGTATTTAATTTTTTTTTACTTGGAACTTTGATGGTTTTTTTTTTCTTTTTTTTTCATGCGGTTGGATTCATTAAACCTTTTCTTTTTCATTTTTTTCTTCTTCTTCCCCTTTTCTTATTATGGCAGCATTTCCATATAAAAATAGAAAGAAAAAATAAAATAAAAATGAAATTTTATGAAGAGACAATGCCTCTTTTTTTTTTTGAAAATTTAACAAAAATAAAGATTACCCATTTCACCTCTTTCACTTATTTGTCCTTTTATTCGATGATGATTTCAATTTGTTTCTTCTTCCTGCAAGAAATTTATCAATTGTTTTTCTTCGTTTTTTTCGCCATCCTAAAATTCTCTCTTACCATCCCCCCCCCCCGAAAAAAAAAAAAAGAAAACAAAATTTGTTGCTTCTTTCGAAATTAATAAAGTTGTATAGGTTTGCCACAATCATAGTCTTTTGCTTCCTTCTGAAATTGCTTCCCTGTGTTGAATTCGTGTATATTGTATAGTGCAAGAAGACATTCCATTTCTGACATTTATCTTCTGTGAATTTAATAAACTGGACTTCATATTATGTATCAATTACAAGACTATTAGTACGATTTTATAATATTTCTATATATAAGTATCCTTATTTATATGTGCTACATTTTTTCTTCACCAACTGCTGTAAAACTCCACCACAGCATAATAGCTCCAGATATGGTTATTCTTGTTAATCCATGTATATTTCCTTTTGTGGTCCTAACGGTTTGGACCACCTTTTAGTTAGATGCTTGCTTACCTATTTCAGGGACTTTCCCAGGTTAATTGAATAAAATTGGTGAAGTGATTCGAAAAAGTAATTTTGGGATACAAAGACTTTAAGATTTCCTGTTTGGCTTAGAGCCAGAGTATATATTGGTTATGATTTAGCATTACAACCCTCCGTTAGCACTGTGATTCAGTTTTATGCATGCGGCTACTGTTAGTGAGAGAGGTGTTCTCATTAAGGACATTGTGCCTCAAACATGATATTAGCCTTATTGTATTAATGAAATTCCGGCACTTGGCTTCATTTTTTTCTTTCTAATCATGTTTTCCAAGTGTCCGATAACAGAAACTAGTTTTATTAAAATCCCCACCCTTTTTGCCTAATAAATCTAAGTATTTTCAGACCAGAATCTTATTGTTCTACATTGATATTTGTAGATTGGACAAGGTACATATAGCAGCGTTTTCCGAGCATGTGAATTAGACACTGGGAAGATAGTTGCCCTGAAAAAGGTGCGGTTTGACAATTTTGAGCCTGAGAGCGTTAGGTTTATGGCACGAGAAATATTGATTCTCCGCAGGCTTGACCATCCAAACATTGTAAAATTGGAGGGGTTAATTACCTCTCGATTGTCATGCAGTATATACCTTGTTTTTGAGTATATGGAACATGATCTTGCCGGACTATCATCTTGTCCAGACATCAAGTTCAGTGAGCCACAGGTTTGTTGATTTCTTTGTTATGCATTAGCACAATAGAAATACAGGAATATTAGCACTGGAAAGGAATGGCACAGTAATCAAGTTTTTTTTCCTGATTTACAAAGATAATTGTTAATGTAATACTAGAAGAAGGGCTTGAACATCCAACTTAACAGCCATAGTTCTATCCAAGTAATTTCAACTTTGTTTCTCTCATACCACTGAGGTTGATTGTTGAAATTTTGAGTAGCTTATAGAGTCATTCCCAAATTTTTAGACTAAATTGTATTTTATTGGATGGTTAAGATCATCATAGAGTATCCAAAATCATCAGAGTTTCCAATATTTTGGTTTGATTGAAAACTATGTCAACGTTATGTATGCTTTTCAATATTGGGATTGTTTGGTTTATTGAACCTGGAGTATCATATTCTTTCTTGTTATTTATTATTTTGTATCAAAGCTTTAATGGCCGATACTGTTCAGGTTAAGTGCTATATGCGCCAATTATTGTCTGGACTTGAGCATTGTCACTCTCGCGGTATCATGCATAGGGACATCAAGGGATCCAATCTGTTAGTTAATAATGAAGGAATTCTCAAAGTGGCTGATTTTGGCCTAGCAAATTTCTATAATCCTGGGCATAGACAACTGTTAACAAGTCGGGTTGTAACTCTGTGGTACCGTCCTCCAGAACTCTTGCTGGGTTCCACAGAATATGGAGCATCTGTGGATCTATGGAGTGTTGGTTGTGTATTCGCAGAACTTCTCCTTGGGAAGCCAATCCTTCAGGGAAAAACTGAGGTGATCATTATATGACATTTTCTTAAAGTATCTCTTGTTTGTTTTTTGCATGAAAATCCTAATAGTGTTATATTATTCAGCAGTATTTAGTTATGCCAATGAAAGGAGAGAATTTGGGAATAAGAAGACAATTTGGCGAATGGTAGAGGTCAAATAATAAAACATTGTTAGAAGGAAGTGATCTCCACAGGAAGAAATCATACATAGTTGCGTATAAAATAAAGAACTATCATTTAGCTAGTTTCCAAGTTTTATATTTCATTCAGCATGCATATTTATTGAAAAAAAAAATATCTATTCTCTTTATTAGAACATTAAATTTCCTCTTAGAACATGGCAAATCATCTTATCTAGATGACAAATAATATTTTAAATATATTAATTTCAATGTTTTCACAAATAATACTAATAGAATATTTAATAGAGCAATTTCATATCAATTAGCAACTAGAAGAGGAGGCTATAACTTTATATAAAAAAAAATTAAAGATTGAAATTTGAAGAGAAAAAGAATAAGGATGGAGCTGCAAATTTATTTAATGTGTGTGAGAGAGATGGGGAGAGAGAGAGAGAATAGGAAAAACAAAAAAGAAACCTTTTTATACTTCTATTCTTTTCTTTTCTCTTTTCAAAAACCTTTGATCTTTTAAATTTCAATAGTAAAACTTTAAAACAAAGTATTAATGATATATATGGTATATTAACACACTTATCAGTAAGATGAGGCATTTTGAAATTACAAGAAGGCGCTCGCCTTGTCATTTTTGTTGCCTATATGGGCACCTTGTTTCTTTAAGTCAGGAGTTTAGGTGAGGTGCCCAGTCAATGGGTGCCTAGGTGGCGCCTTGACAACTATGGTCTGACTTTTTCCGGTGCATTATGTAATGCTATGGATAAAATGTATATGATCGAATTTATTTTTAGAATATAATCTTATGGAAGTAGTTGGACATGATTCCCATCAAATTGCTACCCCACTATTTAATATTTACATCACTCCTATTTGTTGAATACCCTCGTACTCCTTTCTGGAGGAACTTATGTTCTTCCTTTATAGAGATAACTCATTGTACCCCCCCCCCCAAACAGAAAAAGATAACCATCTTTGATCTACTTAAGTGTATAACCTTTCATAAGTAGCCAGGAATTCTAGATTGGGCAAGATACATATATCTGCATTTTCTGAGCACGAGTTAGGCACTGGGAGGATAGTTGCCTGAAAAAGGTGCAGTTCGACAAATTTGAGCCCAATGAGCCCAAGAGCATTAGGTTTATGGCATGGGATTTGGGATATATTTATTCTCCACTGGCTTGACCAACCAAACATTGTAACATTGGCACAGTAAGAAAATAAAGCACAGTAAGATTTGATCTTTCTTATTCTTGTTCCCTTTAAAACATATCAAAAGATCAATGTGGAAGTAGCATGAAATATATTGTTGTATGGGATGCCTCTTACCAATATCTGTTGTCTTAATATACATGTACAGTTCTGATTTCTTTGTTTTGTTTTTATTTTTATTTTGTGCTTATTCTTATTTCTTCTTATTTCTCTTCTTTAGTTTTTTTTCTTGTGGAAGTGAAAGGCACATATATTTATATCAGGAAATAAATTCTAGGTGGCTACATCATTACCTTTTCCAGTTTAAGTTCTAAAGGGAGAATTCATATCCCATGTACAGGTTGAACAATTGCACAAAATTTTCAAGCTCTGTGGCTCCCCACCTGATGAATATTGGAATAAGTCCAAACTTCCTCATGCAACTATTTTTAGACCCAAGCATCCATATGAGAGTTGTCTTCGGGAGACATGTAAAGATTTTCCTGCAACTGCTGTGAATCTGATAGAAATGCTTCTTTCTGTAGAACCATACAAGCGTGGTACTGCTTCTTCTGCTCTTGCATCTGAGGTAACTCATGCAGAACTTTCATCACCCATAAATTCCTAATGTACAAATTATGTTGGAAAAAAAAAAAAGAATCAATCTGTTTCAGCATGTTCAAATACAAACCCACCCTACAAAGATTGCTATTTTATTGCACAAGTGGTTGTATGCCATGTGATTTTTGCATGTTGTCTTTAATAATCATAGAAAAAATTTCCCTCACCATTTTCTTGACTTTTTACCTGGCACATTGCCTCAATCCATATAAACCAAATTTAAGCCATAACTTGTGGGTGACCAACTAAAATATTTCAGAGGGAAGACAGTCTATTTATCGACTATTATCAACCAAATTGTGACTGATCATCCATATCTCACATTTTCCCTTGGTCCTGTGTGGCAAGGAAACTCCCTCTTCTGAAGGTTGTATTTGACACCACACTGTATTCACATTTTGGACATAAGCTGATCTTTTTTTTTTTTTTTTTTTGACAGCAACTGCCAGGAAATCTGGCCAACAAACTCAATTATAAATCAAACAAAACAAAGCCAGATTACACTTTTGAAATCCCAACACTTCCCCAAGCTTATCCCCAATGTCTTCTTTGGATAGATGGCTGAAAACTTGTGGCATTTCTAAAAAAATGTAATTTCCTAAATTTCCTTGAAATAAAAATGCATCAATTTTTTATTGAAAATACATAATGCACTATGTATGTGTTTGTGTGTGCATAGGAAAAAGGTTACCTAATCGGGTCAAATAAGGAGCGTCCCTACATCACCTGCCATATTTTTGCCACATGGAGGAATGATGTGTCAAATCCAATGTCCACCAAATATATGACCAACTGACCATCTATTCAATCCTCCAGTCCATATCAACCCTATGCCCCACCTTTTATTTTAACATTGAATTGAATTTGTGTCAGAAGATGCTTTATTTCAGATATATGGTATGATCTTCTAGCTCAAATTTGTCCCACTAGTAGAGGATAATGAGAGGAAACTATGAGGCCATTTTGAACTGCTAACGAACTTTCCACCTGAAAGATTTCTTAGCCATTCAGCCTTGTGCACTAAATGACTTGGACTAGCAAGCCCATTTTCATATATCTATATTGATGTGTAATTTTATAAAACACTTTCCTTTCAAAATTCTTCAAAGTGGAATGCAATTATTTTACTTTTGTTCATCTTATATGAAACTGAAATTATTCACGGTTTTGGTAAAACCTTCTCCTGTATTTGGTGTATCTGGCTTACTTTCCAGAGTAAAAATATTCTTCTGATTCAGTTTCTTGTGTTCAATCTCAGTATTTCACAACAAAGCCCTATGCATGTGACCCATCAACTTTACCAAAGTACCCACCTAACAAAGAGATAGATGCAAAATGTCGTGAGGAGGAACGAAGGTAAGCTCTTTGTCAACTGTTCACTGCAAGTTTATGGTTTCATATCCTCTCTTAAATAACTGAATCTGTGGTTGTAACCCTGGATAAAGTTTAAAACAAAGGTTGAATAACCAAGTCAAATTGCCACTCATCAGGACTGGTTCCACCTGTTTTGGGCCTAATATCTATTAGTTGTTTCAGAATTTGTTTATGCTAAACTTTTTTAGTTTTTGAACTTATAAGTGTAAGACTCCATACTGTTGTATTGAAGTCTTTTGAATCATTGTTGGACAAGTGGCAATTCAAAGCCAGTATTGCGTCCATGAACTATATGTTAACTGAATCAGGAGTTTATCAAGGCCAAATCAAGCTTTAATCTCTAGAACCATGTTATCTAGCTAAAAAGGATCGCTCGGAAAGTTCAGTATGTCTCCAATACTAACTGCGTAATTTGCATTACTGCAATGCTTTTAGGAGAAGGGCTGGTGGGAGAGTGCGTGGACCTGAAGCAACTAGGAGGCCAACAAGAGTTTGTAGAGCTTCACGGGAATCAATCAGTAAACTGGCATCCAAACCGGTCTCTCTCTCTCTCTCTCTCTCTCTCTCCACACACCGCAAACAAAAGATAAAACCTTGTTCTCATTGATTATTTCTATTTTTTCTTCAGGAATTGCAAGAAAGTACCAAAGGTGCCCATAAGATCAATGGTTGTGATTCACTTACTTCCAAGGAAGATAAAGACACTACATTATGTGAAATGCCAAAACCATCAAATAATACCATGCAAGAAGCTTTCCACATGAAATATGCATCTCAAGGGGAAATTCCTTTCTCTGGCCCATTACATGTCACAGCATCAAGTGGTTTTGCTTGGGCAAAAAGGAGAAAGGAGGATGCACCAACCAGAAGATCACATAGTAGGTCTAGTTCAAGAGGTCAAGTTTCTAATGCAGTAGATCCATCAAGTCTCCTGCAAACAAGAAATAATTCAGACCTAAAAATAGAAAATGGGGAAGCTTTATATGGGGCTCGCATTGATTCTAGAGATCATGATTCACATGATATTGCTAAGCGTGCAATGCTGAAACAATGGAGCCATTTAGACCATCCAGATTCTTTTGATGCATCTGATATATACCATTCTCAAGAACTATCAGTGGCACTGTATCAAAGGGAGGAAATGGCAGCTAAGAGAAGCAATCTGGTAAGGATACAAATAATGATAGATCAATGATGAAGATTTATTTATCCTTTTTGAACTTGGGGTGTCAACTAAGTCAGGATTGAGTGACTGAGTTCAAACCCAAATTTATATAAAAAAGCCAATGCTTCTTTTGAAAATTCTAGCAGAGTGGCTGAAGGTTGATTGACTCAGTCACTTAGTTGAGTGACATTCCTATCAATAGGCTGAATGTCCTTTCTGAGACTTCTTCCCTTTGAGTTTAAATTCTTATTAAATATAAAACTCTCACAGGGTTATCAGGATCAAGGAGACATGGTTGAATTTTCAGGACCATTATTGTCTCAATCACATAGAGTTGATGAGCTCTTAGAGAGGCATGAGCGTCACATCCGTCAAGCAGTCCGCAGGTCATGGTTTCAAAGAGGTAGGAAAATTTCCATTTTGAATTTCTAAAATTTCTGCATGCTTAGTTTCTGGTATATCAGACGTTAAACATTGAAACTTTCAATAACCAATATTATCTGTGAAAAAGAGTAATAAAACATGGGGCAGAGGGCTGATATGGACTAAGGATTGAATATGGGGTCCCCTACCTCATGAACGGCATGGATATCCCACATCATCATCATTCCATGTGGTAAAAATATGGCCGGTCATGTAAGGATGTCCCTACACAACCCCACCTATTTCTGCCACGTGGAGGAACCATGTGGCCAATTTGGACTGTCCATCAGGTTGGGACCATTATGGTCTGCCATGAGTATGATTCCACAGTTCATGTCAGTGCTGTACCAAATTGAAATTTTGATTAACCAATTACAATCACTCAAGCTTCTAATTTTTCAATATAGAAGCCCATAAAAGATCATTTATTTGGGCACATGGCAAAGGATGTTGGTTTAAATATCAGAGCGGCTGCTTTGTCCAAAAGAAAAGCCAAAAATTTGATCTATTTCCATTCTAACCCTTCCAAGACCCCAGAGAGCTTGGCCCATCATATTGGGTAATGGCCCTTGGCATGGAATTTTGGGCCAAAATCTTTTCCATGAATATGGAGTGGCGAGAGGAATACAGGCACTCCTTTTGAGCCCCAAATTAAGTTGCCATGTGGAAGATTCCTTGGTTTTTTTGTGCATACCAAATTACCTAATTAGCAATATGCTTAACAAAATTTATCTTGACCTTGTTATAATATTTACGTCACAAGAAAATTACCAGTCTCTTAAACTTCCCCAGAACTTAGATACTGGTACTGAAATATTCTAGAGGTATCAAGCATCTTTTATCAATTCAATGTCTTGACTGCTTGTTCTAGGATGGATGTGGCTAGTGGCCTAGGTTGTCTTGACTGCTTGGCTTCATTTAGTTTTGTTGATACTGATATGGTGGATCTACCGTGGCAGGGAAAAGGCATGGAAAATAGTTGTCTGAGGTATGCCTTCCAGTTCAAACAGAAGTCTCCTGTTGATGAAGAAGGTAATTCAAGAAATGCAAATCTTGTCCCTAAATAAGGAGATGAATCTATTACCAGGGTATGCCGACCCCAAAAGTCTTGGTACACAAGCAATGAGAAGGGTAATTGCCATGTTCTCGGTTCTGAATTTGCCACCTGCCAGGGGATCTTAGATGATGGCAATTGAGCTGGGGTAGCCAAAATGAAGGCGATGGAGCTAGCTTGCTTTACTAGTTAACTTGAATAGTGTCGGCGAATGCTCTTCCAAGTCCATTTTTAACAGAAGCTGAGCTTCGTTTGATCAAAGAATTCAATTTGTGTAGATTGTAACTACATTAATTTTGTAATTCCTGGAAGTCCCAGAATTGTATAATGTGTATATCTAACAGTTAACTAGGTCCTTGTTCACGGTTACTTTTTAAGGATCTAGTTTTCTAGATTTCTAGTCAATAGTTTCATCCAACATCAATGAATAGAAAGGTTGTTTAAGGCCCGCAAGTGTTTCCTTTTCCCTCTTTGTTTACCCTCTGAGCATAGCATTGGTATTTTTGTTTTTTGCTTTTTTATATAGCATTGCTATTTGGTTGTTGATTTTAAGGGTAATTCATATCTTCATTGAGGGCCTCACTATCACTGAAGATTTGGACAAAAGCTCCTTTCCACTTCAATTTTCTTGAATTTATGCCAGCTTGCAGCAGTTCACATTTGCGCCCCAGAGAGCATGCATTGGGAACAGATTATCCCAATACACGGCTGGGATGTGTTTTGACAGGCATGAGGCATCCATGGGACGCCAACATGATCTCCCTTGCAAACTACAAGATTCGTGGCCATTCTTTCATTTCTTCTAAGAAGTCTCACTCTGGTAGCGCAGGACTAAAATTGAGAATCAAGGCTTTTGATGTATTGCAGTAGCCCCACTAAGACGTCACTTTTCCTAATTCAAGGTAGGAGGGCCATAGCAAAACATCAAAGACGTTGATTCTGTCGTTTCAGCGAGGGCTACGACACGGCCAATGTGGTTTGTTTTTTTAGGCACGTGCACTCTTGTAAATTGTAACTTGTGATTAGGGATTGGTAATTTTGGGTATCTGATTCGATCTGACCCTAATAGGATCTGTTTATCAAACTCCTATAGAGTTTGGGACGGATTTAGGTTTTAACTTTAAGGTATTCGATATTTGATACCTGAGATGTATAAATGTGAAACTATTATATTACTAGTAATTAAGCACGTGTTGTACTTGAGAATTTTTTTTATATTAATTATTTGAATTTTAGATATATCATAGTTAAGATAGAAATTGAAAATTAACAAAAGTAATAATATGATTAAAAATAAACTTAAATATTTGTTATTCAATTATGACATCATGGGTTTCTTGGAAAAGTTGGATCGTTGACCCACCATCTAGATAAGAAAATAGCATTGTTTTTTGATTAGTTTTAAATTAGGGAAAATTATAGCCATAACCGGTTGTACATTTAAAATTAAGCTACAAGTTGGTCCATAAACCAACATAATTCTGACAACCGGCTCTACATTTCAAATTAAAAACCCTCGCCATGCCATCGGAGGCTTATGTGGTTGTTTCCAACATGAGACTCTAATCTATGTTAGATACAACAAAAAGCTTATATTGAAATTGCCCTTTAATGTTGGGTGATTGGAAAATAAAAAAAAAAAAAAAAGGTTTTTAGTTTTTCTCTCCCTCTCCCTCACACCATCTCACTCACAATCATCTTTATCTGCTCAATAACTATGTGATTTGAAAATAAATAAAAATGGTTATTGGTTTCTGTATTTACATTCTCTATATCAATTTCTCTCATTCTCTCTCCCTCTACCTATCATTCTCCCTTAATCTCTCTCATTCTCTTTTTTGGTCGATCTCTCATTTTCCCTTAATTTCTATCGTTCTGCTTTAGTTTCTCTCTTGCTCCCTTTCTCGTTTGTTTTATTTTCTTACACACTTATATGGTATCAATCAAATCATATAAAAGAACATGAGACCAATTTGGCAAGATTAAAAAATCACTATATCAATTTGATAAAAATTCACAAGAAACTCTTAGCTATAAAATTTACACCAATTGGAGAACGATAGAGATTGAGGGAGAAGAAGATATCGATCGAGAGGGAGAAGAATGAGAAAGATTAAGGGAGAACAAGAGAGAGAGAGAGAGAGAGAGAGGTTTTGATTTGGCTACAAACCGAAGCTGAGAGAGTGGGAGAGATAGAGGGAGCGGGAGATCGAGAGATGATTATGAGAGTGAGAGAGAAGGGAGGGAGATCGAGACACAAAGGGCGTGGGAGAGAAACTGAAAACCTATTTTCAGTATAGGTTTTTTGTTGTGTCCAGCATGGATTAAAAGTCCCATGTTGGCAACAACCACATAAGCCTTCGATGACATGGCGGGGGTTTTTATAATTTGAAATGTAGAGCCAATTGTCAGAGTTTTGTTGGTTTTTGGACCAACTTGTATCCTAATTTTAAATGTACAACCAACTTTGATTATAATTTTCCCTTTAAATTATATATTTTATTTACATTATATAAAATATTTTTTATTTTTCACACTTAATTGTTGTTTGTCTATGGTATCATTTGGCTCAACCACTAACCCACCATATAAAAATAAAAATTGTTTGATTTCTAGGTTGACATTAAATTTTGTATTACATTTCCATCATTGATAAAATTATTTCTTATGTATAAAACTTATTTTTGTTTAATATAATGAATGCACAATATTAGAGATGTACCCAATATTTTATTTTTTATAAATATATAACATTAGATATGTGCCCAAAATTTTCTCTATCTTTTTTTATTTTTGTGATTCTTTGTATTTTCTATTATTAAAAACTTTATTATTTGACTATGACATCATTTAATTTCTAGGTAGATTTTGAAGTTGACATTCCATTTTTATCATTAATAAAAATACTTCTTGTATTTCATAGTTATTTATTTTAATTTTTTATTATTTAATTATGGCATTATTTATTAATTCATTTGACCCAAATGGTTGAATTGCTTGCCCACCACTGGGAGGGAAGAAAATGGTTTTGTTTTCAAATTACTTTTCAAAATATTTATTTTTATACTATTAAAATTAATATTGTGGATTTAATTATAAGAATTTAATGATGAGAAAAATTATATCTTAAATATAGGATTTAATGAGAGAGAATAGGAAAATATTTTTATTTCCAATTGGTTTTAAATTTTATATTCCATTTTCATCATTAATAAAAACATTTCTTATTTATAATACTTTATTATTGTTTAATATGTATGTTAAAAATGTTCCCAATTTTTTTAATTTCTATTTTTTTCATTTTATCTATTTTTAATTTTATTATTTAATCGTGACAACATGGATTAACCCATTTGATTCAAAATGATTTAATTTCTTACCACCACCTAGATGAAAATACTATTTTTGCTAGGTAGATTTTAAAAGTATAACCTTTATGTTATTGAAATTATTAATTTATTAAGTATGATTTAACTAATAGAACTTAATGATGAGAAGAAACAAAAATGACTTAAATATATGATTCAATGAACATGAATGCAAGTTAATAACTTAAATGTTAGATTTAATGAGAGGGAATTGAATGAATTGAATATATTTAAATTACCTCCTTTCAACTCATTTAATATGAAGAACCAAATGCCCTATTTGCCCTCATTTTTTATCAATAAATTTAAATATAGAGGGGTAAATTTTATCCTTAGAAAATTCCAGAAATATTCTTGTGTCCATTCGTGCTTTTTAAAGTAGTATAGAGGGAATTTTCGGGTATCTGATTCGTTCTAACCCTAATAGGATCTGTTTATCAAAATCCTATAGAGTTTGGGACGGGTTTAGGTTTTAACTTTAAGGTATCCGATACCCGATACATGAGATGTATAAATGTGAAACTATTATATTATATATCATGCACAAATTTATAAAGTTTAAGTAATAAGATAATTATTCTATTATTAGTATTTTATTTGTATAAATTTCTTGGGATTAAAATCATCATTTAATATAAATTTGGATTTAATAGATTGTTTATTTCATTTAGTTATAAAATACTAATTTTAAATATTATTTCTTTTAATTTTTAGTTGGAATTGTTAATCATATGTATGTATTGATTGTTTTGATGAACACAAAAGTTAATAAATATATTTTATTTCATTAAATAACACAAAAGGCAAAATGGCTTAGTGGCTTAAAGTAGTGCTAAGAGATTTAGTGTTATCATTAATGGATTCAGGTTCAAGTCACACTATAAGCATTAAAAATGTTTGGTCAAAAGGTTTAACGGGTGATAGCTTCTACCTAGGGGTGCAAATGGATCATATCATGATCCAATCTATTTGGTCAAATTTGGATCACCCCGATCAGAAATCGGATCAGATCGAGAAGATCCAATCCGATATATATTATATACTTATAAATATAAATAATACATATATTTTATAAATTTGTTATATTATTTATTTTTTATAAAAACATGTATATATATGATGAAAACAATTTAAAAAATACTTGTATTTTTTGTTTTTACTTTATTTAAATTAGTATATTTTATTTTTTTCTTTTAACAATTTATTAACTTTTAAAGAAAAAAAATCAGATTGGATCAAATCCAAAGATCCGACTTATCGATAGGATTCGAATTCAAATTGAGTCCTATAAGATCCGATTGGATCTTTAGATCGGGTTGGATCTGACATGAACAATGTCAGATCGGATTTGAATATACCCTGATTTGAATATGATCCAATCTGTTTACATCCCTACTTCTACCCCTGAGCAACTTTATAAGTGCTTTTGGTCAAAACTCTTTCCATTCCATATATTTCCCGTATCATAGATTTTCCCTTTGGAACTAATTAATTACTCAAAAACAAAACTATTCTTTATTAAGTGACAAATAAGCAATTCAACCATCTGAATCAAATTGGTCAACCATGAAGTAGTCATAGTGAGATAATAAAATTTTTAAATAGAATTAAATATAGAAAGTTACAAAAATGTATAAAAAACATTAGACACATTTATGATATTTTTATTAATCAAATTAAAAAATAATTGTAATAAACAATAATTATTTTTATTGGTGGTGAAAAAGAAATACATAATCTAAAACTAACAAAAAATTAAATTATGTTCCTATTCGGCAGAAATCAATAGTTCAACTTTTGGGTCAAATGTCTCAACCTCTAATGTCATAATTAAATAATAAAAAATAATAAAATATAAAAACACAAAATGAAAAAAATGCATAAATTTTACAAAAAAACATTTGGGAACAATGATAATATCATATGTTTATCATATTAAACAAAAATAAGTGTGACATATCAGAATTATTTTTACACACAGAGAAATAAAAAAAAAAATGAACGCATCTGTAATTCTATACTTACACTACTATTAAAATATGAATAAGATTGTGAAACTTTTTTTGACTAAAATACTCATTGTTTTAATTTAATCCCTATTTACTTATGAGGTTTAAAATGTAATTTGAACTACTACTTTTAATGTCATTTAATTCCTTCTCTTTACATTTTTTTTTTATAAATGAACAAAAAATAAATGCATTAAGAAGATAAAATATTACAAAAGGAAGAGTTCGGCCAGGCATTTGGGTATGTCAATGATACTCCAAACTTTGCAACCTAATATGAGGTGTTTACACAAATGGATTCAAATTTTGCAATTTACATCTGATTAATAACAAAAAATAAAAAATACATTTTGGATACATTATTACTATCATTATCATCATATTGTCACATGCAAAACATATGTACACTTACTAGTTTCTTGAAAAATGGGAATATCCTAGCCACCAAAAATACCAAAATTCAAAACGTGGTGTGTGTGTGTGTGTGTTGTGTGTGTGATTATCATAGGTTGTCGGCTAGCCCAGACGGAGAATCCGGATCACATGCCAATACCCTAGCAACATCATCTCGCATGCCCATCTGATACATGATGAAGCCAACTTTTAGGGTGGTCCCAGTTTCATAGTGAGATGTGCAGTGTCAGATCAAGTTGGTAGGGTGTTGGAACATGTTTCATTGTCAGGTGATCCCAACTCTACACCCAGAATTCTCCAACCTTGGTGAAAGGAGGTTTAAATATAATTAAATATAGAAAATTACAAAAATGTAGAAAAAACATTAGACACATTTATGATATTTTTATTAATCAAATTAAAAATAATTGTAATAAACAACAATTATTTTTATTGGTAGTGAAAAAGAAATACATAATTTAAAACTAACAAAAAATGAAATTATGTTCCTATTCGGCAAAAATCAATAGTTCATCTTTTGGGCCAAATGTCTCAACCTCTAATGTCATAATTAAATAATAAAAATTAATAAAATATAGAAAAAAACAAAATGAAAGAAAAAATGCATAAATTTTACAAAAAAAAATAACATTTGGGAACAATGATAATATCATATATTTATCACATTAAACAAAAATAAGTGTGACATATCAGAATTATTTGTACACACATAGAAATAAAAAAAAAAAATGAGCACATCTATAATTCTATACTTACACTACTATTAAAATATGAATAAGATTGTGAAACTTTCTTTTGACTAAAATACTCATTTTTTAATTTAATCCCTATTTACTCATGAGGTTTAAAATGTAATTTGAACTACTAATTTTAACCTCATTCAATTCCTTTTCTTTACATTTTTTTATAAATAAACAAAAAATAGATGCATTAAGAAGATAAAATATTACAAAAAGAAGAGTTCAGCGAGTCATTTAGGTCTACCAATGATACTCGAAACTTTGCAACCTAATATGAGGTGTTTACGTAATCGGATTCAAATTTTGCAATATGCATCTAATTAATAATAAAAAATATGAAAACAAAAATAAAAAATACATGAATTTTATTGAAACTTTTGGATACATTATTACTATCATTATCATCATCTAGAATTGTCACATGCAAAACATATGTACACTTACTAGTTTCTTGAAAAATGGGAATATCCTAATCACCAAATATATCAAAATTCAAAACATGGTGTGCGCGCGTGTGTGTGTGTGTGTTATCATAGGTTGTCGGCTAGCCCATCTCCCATACGGCCATACCCATAAGAATCCGGATCATTTGCCAATACCTTAGCAACATCATCTGACACCGCACATCTCATACATGACGAAGCCAACTTTTATGGTGGGCCCCAATTTCATAGTGAAATGTGCAGTGTCAGATCAAGTTGGTAGGGTGTTGGAACATGTTTCATTGTCAGGTGATCCCAACTCTACACCCAGAATTCTCCAACCTTGGTGATTAGGGGTGTCAACGGTTTTCGAAAATCCGATTTCAAATTTGATATTCAACATAATCGAATCGAATTCGGATAATTCGAATATCTAATCGGTTGAATTCGGATATAACCTGATTCGATTCAATAAATATTCAAATTCGACCGATTATTTAATTTTTATATATAATATATAAAATATTTTATATAATATATAATAATTAAGTTATATAAATAATTTATATATTTATATACTTTATATCAATAAAATATTTATTTTATATATTTATTAATTATCTAAAATAATTAATTAATCGAATTCGAATTGAATCAGATTCAAATTCGGATATTAATTTTCAATATCCGTCAGATATCGAATCGAATTCGGATATCGAATTTTCTAATAGAATTCAAATTCGGATATTACCGGATCCGTTTACACCCATTTTGGTGACAGCAGGTTCTAATGGCACGTCTCTGCCACAACCAACCAGAACACTTACCAACGGAGCCTCTCAGTAGTAAAACATGGTGTGTTCCTTTCATAAAAACGGGATGTGTCAAAATCAGCCACCAGAATACCTTTGGGTATTTTATATAAACAAGAAAAATAAATAAACAAATAAAATAATAATCACCTATAGATCTGAGAAATCCAAACCCGATCTCATAGGGAGTTGCGTAAATTAAAAAATCGAAACCTGATTGAGAAAAGGGGATATTTTCATCGTAACCCTAATTATACTTCCCTTATTTTAGAGTTGTGTCAATGGATGGGGGCTTGCTCGGGACAGGATAGACCAGTTCCAAATCGATTATTAATTGGGATAATTGGGTCTGAACAGAGTAGGTTCAATTATCTATAATTACCTATAATAATAATAATAATAGTTGGAACTTTTTTATAATATAACGTTAATAAAAATGACAGTAAATAATAAAGTAGTTATATATTGATAAAAAATGCAAGTATTTTTAACCAAAATGATCTCATATGAAGTTTAACCTTTTAACTATATAATTGATTTGGAACAGGAAAGGGACCCGACCCAATAATTGGGATACAAACCCGCACAGATCGAACCAAACTTAACATAATCAGTTCAGTCGGTTCAAATTCTTTCTGATAAACCCGACCCATTGACTGCTCTATCTTACTTCAACTTTTATTTTGCCTAATTGACCCCGATGTCCTTATATATATATATATCACCCACAATAAGCCCAAACATAGCAGCAGATTCCTTGTATCCTAGACTAATGATATTGGGCTGCAAAGCTTACAATGCTGTAAGGCGTCTGAACGTATTTGAAAATATGTCTCTGTATTTCTAAACTTTGTATTTGTATTCTTCCCAAACTGAGTCCGAAGCTTGAGGGAAATTGTGAAAGGAACTTATAGCAACTTTTAACCCATTTCAAAATGAATAGAGAAACACAAAAGCAAAGGGATGAATATGATAGTGGAGTATAATCTCTCAGTTGAACTGAGTTGAGTTGAGGTGGCATGTTTGTTTGGATGCCCATGAAACAGATCTAACCTGGATCTTATTTACAGACTGGACTGGTTCCATCTACTTTAAATACAAATCAAATATACAATAGAAAACAAGGAAAAAGAGGAGAGGTGGCTCAGTTCTGTCACTCCGCCAAACAGAAAAAAAAAAAAAAAAATGAAACTTCTCAGGATAGGAAAATCTTCATGGAATTAACCTCATGCTGATTGCTGACCTTCTCCTTTCCCACTCTGTGGAATTGTTTATCTAGAGAGGGTGCATCATGCTAAGGAAGACTCAGTACTGAAGCAGATATGGGTTGAGGACTGATACCATTATTGAATTAAAAATAAAAAAAAAATTAAAAAAACATCTCTTAAATTAATAAATTGATTTTTCCGCCCTCTTCGTCAATCAAGCCGGAAACATCCATGGAAGCGTTACAATATGGACTTCTTGAGCTGTCCACCTGTGGCTATCATAACTTATGGCACATGACTCCACATCTTGTTATACAAATCAACTCTCATCAACCGTCATAATGGTTGGTATTTGACCGTTATTTACAAAATCAATCTTGTTCAATCTCACACAGCACAAGACTTTCTCTGGCAGTTCCTCAGGTTTCTGTGCCTGTCATGGCATTTAATAACAGTTAGTAGACAATAAAAACCTAGTTCAGTTTATCAAGTTTACGGATTCTTCAAGAATGGGAACTGAGATACAAGAAGATAGTGACGTGGAAGTGAAATTTGGTCCAGTACCTCATGCAACAAATGTCAAACTAGAAGACATGCACGGACTAAGTTATTTGTAATAAAACTTACTTGGAGAAAGCAACAAGAAAAATGAAAAGAGAAAAGGAAAGTAAATTACATTTGAAATCTAGAACTCTGGTTAACTGGAGTTTGCTTGGGCTATCCCATTACATAATGTACAGATGTGTGTGTGCGTATATATATATATAAAGATCAGCTAAACTACTTTGCAGTGTTGTCAGACTTCGACTGAACTATGTGTTTGAACCAGTGACTGGTGAGCCAATGAGCTTTTTGGGCGTGGTTATTTTATGATTCTTACAGGTTGAACAATCTAAAAATGCAGTCAACCAGTAAAACTGTTGCCCAGTGAGCTTTCAGGTTTTCCACTCCATCGGAGTCTGACAATACTACCACTTTGTTAAATATTACAGGAAAATAGTAATCAAAAGGGAAAGAAGGAGCAATTTTGATAAGATAAAGATCTGTACTTGGATAATTAAGCAGAAATCAATTATCCCATTTTTCAAACGTTCTCTAAATGATTCAAGTCCCTTCCTTGCTATGTAACTGAAGCGGTGTATATCCAGGTCTATCTCAAAGTAATTTGTACCCTGCATGAAAAATGGCAAGCATTAAGGAATAATCTTATGGCAGAAGCTGAATTATAACCTTTCATCGAACTTCAGATGCCAAGATAAAAAGGACTGGGCAGTTTCAAGTTTTCCACGACTAAAAATATTTTCATAAGAAACTTCAAGATTTCTTATAGAGAACTACTTTACAAGCTTGAAATTCAAATTTTGAAATTTTGTGCATAATTGCTATTCTCTCAATTAAGGAAAACAGACTACAAACCCTGTGGTAAAAGGATTTTTCCTTGTAAAGCATGCAGAGCTAATGTCTTGTACCAGTGCCACTCTTCGGACAATTCCATGAACCAAGTCAGATGACTCAGATACTCTATATCTGAGTTCTTCATTTTCATAATGCCAACATGAGAATTTCCACAAATACTAGAAACTTCAAAAAGTGGAATGATTTTCCCTTTATAACTTGCACTGGCAGAAACAGGAAACAACAAAGGGAATTTGTTATTTACCCTATAGAAATTGTGTTGGGGACGTGAAAGCACAGGCTTTTCATTGTAGGTGTGTAAGAGTTTTCTTTCAGCAGAGCTCAGGTGAAGATCGTCTGGATTGACAACACCACCCAGGATCTTTAATCTTTCTCTAAAAGGGACTGTTGAGTCCCCTGTAAATCCTTTAACCTTTTCCATTTCATCCTCAACCAGTTTCTGTAGCAAAGGACATTATTAGCCAGAAGAAATACCATACAAAGTAAATAATAAAAGCCTAAAATAAGATAAAATGTAATAGCAGTAAAAGAAGGAACATTTGAAATAAATCGTAACAACAAAGGAAAACATTAGGCAACCAATAGTGCTAAAACTCGACTTTGGAAATTTTCCTTAGAAAATCTATCACCAACTCATACAAGCCGTCTTCATACTTGTAGTCAGAAAATTGTCTACCCTGTGTAAACAGAATTCATCTCCTTTTTATCAATAAAATGGGAAGAAAAAGGCACTGCAGAGTAACCAATACTCCACATCCACATCATGGGAAAAGGTTTGTTAACATGGGAGTGAGTTTACAATATACAATAATGCCAAAAAACTTCGACTTGCAGTTAAATGGGAAGAAAATGACGCTGCAGAATAATAAATTATACATATCCACATCATAGGAAGAGGTTAGTATCATGGGAGTGAATTTAAGGCATAGTATACTGGGATGTGAATTAATCAATAACATGAGTTGAAACTAAGCATTTCTTATAAAAGAGAGGTTGGACGTTTTAGGGAATTATAGACTTCATGAATATAAAATAAAATAAAACTCATTTATGAGGAATGTCAATGGAGATTAGTTTCTTGTATTAAACATTCTTTAAGCTGAAAGTATAAGATAAAATGAGAACTAGAAAAAACACTTTAACAAAAGCATCTGCAGTGCATCTGTAAGATATAATTTGTAACTCCCAAGAAACAAGCACAAAAAAATAAAAAATTTACCTTAATGCTATGCTGAAAATGAGGGGAGATCTCTTTCTCAAAGTTTTCTGAGACCTTAAAATATAATACAAGGCTCATGCCTTCTCCATCACAGTCACCAAGGAACATGGGAGAAGGATAAGTGGGCAGCTGCAGAAAAAAAAAAATGCATTATGAGATGATTCAGTATTGATACATACCACATTGGGTGGGGGTGGGGGGAAGGGTTTCAAGTAAAGAGAAGAAATAATTCATACCTGAATATTAACAATTAGGAGTGAGGGTGCTTTGTCATATGGTGTCACAGATGGAAGCTCAAGATGCTGGGCAATGTGGTTTATCTTTCTTGAGCAGACAAATAAATCAACACCAATAGGGGCATATGGACTGTAATTTGGAGCAGGGGACTTCTGCTTGTCTCTGCATGATTGATTTTCAAGGTTAGGTTGGTTAAGTCCTTGCATGCACAAATATAATCCATTGATCAAAACAGAACTATCAGCAGTAATGGAAAATGTCTAAAATTTTGATACATGATTGAATGAAACAGATAAATAGCATGCCTGAAATAGCTCTCCGCACGAAGCTTAAAGACTGAAGGTGAAATTGCAGACCAGCATCCTGGGGTTGGCTTCTCTACGGTTGAACATGGAATCAGTAGTCCTGCTCTTGGACGATATAGGAATTTCTTTGAGGCACCTGCATGATTTTAATTACATTTGTATCATGGAAATTGTTGAATGTAATAAAATTAGAACTGTGCACAATATCATAAGATGACATACAAGGGCATTAAGATTGAAATTGAATCACCCTGAAGAGACAACAGGGTTGAAAAATAAGGCTCTGTAGTAGCATGGTTAGTAACCTGAATCAATTTTGTTCTTTTTGTATAGAAGGTGATGGAATTAAGAAAGGAAGAACAAATGGGAGAAATTTGTGACTTAATCACAATAAAGAACAATTTCTTGTAGTAAATGAGAAATTTTCAATTGAAGAACAAATGACTATTAGATTGATGAAACCAGATCAAATCTTGGCATGGTGTCAGATTCGCAGGGGCAATTGTGAAACTCAAAACACATCCCAATCGGTTGTAGAATTCCACAAGATGGTCAAGGCTTATTTGATGTCTTATTTCCTTCACTGTATCCACTTTATTTGTAGTCCACATTTTCAGGAAATAATGCATAATAAAGTTTTAATGGATGTGTATACTTACAAATTCCAGAAATTTCCTCTCCATCATAGGACTTCTGCTTGAAAGAAAGCCTGATAACTGTTGACTTCTTCCATTGAGGCAATGGACTTGATGGAGGTTGATTCATGTCATTAAAATTGACAGAAGGACCTAACCGAGGTAAACAAGACTTCAGGGTACTTTCTTGAGTTTTCTCTTCAGAATCATGCCTATCCTCTTTTAGACCATTAAAACTTGCATAGGGCTTATCTAATACTTTTTTCATCTTGGTACAAGCTTCATCAGCCTTCCCCAGGCAAGAAAGCTCATAACCTTGGGTACTTAAAAGTGAAAATCCATCTGCATTCTTGCATTCATCTTTGATCAAGAACTTCTCAGTTTTACTTCCATCTATTTTAAAGTAGCTTCCATAAGGATTATCTAATACTTTTTTCATCTTCGTACAAGTTTCATCAGCCTTCCCCAGGCAAGAAAGCTCATAACCTTGGGTGCTTAAAAGTGAAAATCCATCTGCATTCTTGCATTCATCTTTGATCAAGAACTTCTCGGTTTTACTTCCATCTATTTTCAAGTAACTTTCATAGAATTCCTCATACTTGCACCCAGAATCAACAAATGTAGCAGCTTCATACTGAAGTAATTGGGCACCTGAGATATTCCCAATTGCATTGCTTATAGAAGGAAAACAGTCTGCAACAGGTAGGTTGGCAAGTATTAATCATAAATGGCAAAATCAGTCCAGTCGACCAGTTGGATAGAAAGTAAAAATGGATAAGTGTGCATTCTATGGATCACATCTAGGGGACCTCCCGAGTAATAGAGTGAACATAACAAACTCTTAGGCCCCATTCATTTTTCTTTTGGCCATTTACCCAGGTATTTCTTTAATTTCCCAGGTGAGTGAGATAATAACCATTTTACCCTTAAAAAACAGAATTAGAAGGGACAATATTATCCCATCATGTGCTGGCAACTTCCCCCCAGGTGGGAAAGTTACACCTGGGAGATAAGTGATACCTATGGTAAGTGACTTATCTGTGGGACCCACGTGAATCCGCAAAAAGAACGTGGGATTGATGGTCAATGGGAACCATTTTCCCATTGACCAACTTCCCCTCTACATTTACCGAAAAACGAGTGCGCCCTTATAGAATTCTGGAAAGTTTACTGACTTCAGAGATGCAGAAAATAAGGTGGTTAGAATCAACAATGGAGTTAATTTTTGTTCCTTTCATTGCTGGGAACTCTTCAAATACGGTAAGAATGTCTTGCATTCAAATCATTCAATTAAACTGGTTGTGGTAAAAGGTGATTGGGCTTACCTTCATGAACACTACTAAAGTCATCATCATCAGAGTCAGAGTCAAGAATACTGGCAGAATCAAACCATGCTTCCTCTTGGCATTTTGCTGCAAACAAATAAACCTCTATAGTGAATTCTCAGATCATCTAATGAAGGAACCCATGTCGTCTGGCACAAGAAGGTAATTCACCCGGGCAAGAATTTTTTTAAGATAATGGCTTCCATGAAATGTTATCTAAATTGATGAGGTACAAATGAACAATTTTCATATTTTATATGTGAGTTCAGTATGCATGATACAGAAGCAGATTGAGGAGAAAGGTTATATTTCATTTCCCAACCAGAAAATTTATACAGATGAAACTCAATTTTACAAACCCAACAAGCCATATCATCTATGATCAGAATTTTTCTTTCAATTCCTATAATGGAAATCTAAAAGATTTCTAAGAGCCCATTAATAACATTCTGTAATCTATACTGTTTACATGTTCCTGTCCTGGGACAAGTAAGTAGGAAACTAGTAATGGGAATTTTTATATCATGCCGATAGGTAGAAGGTATAATGGAATGAAAATTTGGAAATTTCCTATTTATATGAAAGTACGCAGCATATAGAAACATCCCATGATTCAAAGAAATTCATTTTTTTTTTAAACAAAGCTTCTCCAAGTTGATCAAGTTGTCCTTTCTAGTTTGCGGTGCTCATATGAAAATGTACAAAGTTTATTAAACAGGCTAAACAATGAAATCTGGTTCTAAAATGAGTACACTTTCAAAAAACCATCAAACCCAATCACCAGTCTTAAACAGAATATCAGAATATAATATAGATCCATGGAAAAGGTTAGTGACAGACAGTTCAACATGCCCCACATAAATATATCATTTCCGTCAAAAATCAACTTAAGTGAATAATTTCCACATATGGCCAGAATAATTTTCTTCTTTATTGTTCCTTTTTTTCCCATTTTGAGTACCATGAAGATGCACACTGTAGATGTCTTCTGTCACCTGATCTGATTGTTTTTTGACATTGGAATGTTTCCAAATTGAGAAATTGTTATAAGGAGAGAGAAGGTACCATTCGTATCGACTTGGTGATGCCATTGCAACTGGGTTAGATGGAATGTCAAATTGGAAACCTCTGATCTCGTGCATGTAGTTGTTGCACCCTTTTCAAAATCAACATGAACAAACTCACTTAGAGCAAAATCCGTTACACGACTTTCTGCATCACAAATCCGGTTCTTTGGCGCATTTCCCCGGCGTTTGCTGGATCTGTAAGAATACTTCCTCCGCGGTACAATTCTTCTGTCTGGCGCTGATACACATGCACCCATTTATGACTTCACTAAATCCCAGTAACAAGGGAAATTTTCTTCATAGGCGATGAAACCCTCAGGACAAGAGCTGGTAGAAAGTGCATGAACTCCAGAAACGCAAGGAACCTGGCAAGTAGTAGCCAAAAAACATGGGCATGTAAGAAAGAAAGTTCACTTATTTTAATTCACCTTCGGTTCTATTTTACTACAGCTTTGCTAATCCATTTTGCAGCCCATACAAGTTCTACTCAACGCAGATACACACAGTACAAAACGACGTTGTGTTGGCAAGACCAAAACACCTTGTGTGCCAAACCAGAAGTCCGAAATGAAAAAAGGAAAAAGAAATCCTTTTGTTGGTCAAACAAACTTTCTGAACTCAGATCCTGAAGGTTCAGATGATCCAGAGTGGGTCTTTTATTGAGAGAGTACCTCTCCATTCAACGAGTCAAGGAGACAGATACCCACTTGGATGTTTGCCCCCACTTGAAGTGACTAGGGGATTGTAAGGTCAAACTCAAATGAATAGGTTCCCATTTCTCTGTGTCGGGTTCTTCACCAACGCAAGTGCGATTGTGAGTCCTTGTCATTTGTTTTTTACATTAGCAATTAATGACTCGTCAGGAAAATATAAAGAAAATAGAAAAACAATGGAGGAAGATGAATGAAATAAAAAAAGATATTGATATTGCAATTTGGAATTTACCATAATCATCAAAACCGTGGCAGAGAATACGGTTGACATGTTAGAGTGGAAAGAGAAATGCAATTTGGAGAAGAAACGAGTATTTCACCTCCGGAAGAACCCTATAGATAAGGAAAAGCTACCAAATTAGATGTTGATATGGACATATCAAATTCAAAATGCGGTTTGCAGTTTAACATGAATCCTGTAGCTATGATCTAAAGAAGACGTACCTGTATAATTTTAGTGAAACAGATCAAAAATTTCAGAAATTAAAAAAAAAAAAGAAATTTTCTTAACACAACTGAAAATGAATATGTAGAAAGTAGAAACGAGAATAAGATGACTGTTATTCTCATTCACATAAAATCAAATAGAACATGAAATATCTGGAGGGGACTACAAGAAGAGACGGCAAATGGTCCACTTCAAATCCAAATAAAAAAAGAAAACAAATATATATTAGAATTAAAAAAACAAAGAAGCGCGCGCAGAGAAAGAACGAGAAATTTGATTCTTTGGAATTCCCGAACGCAGACGAAGTTCTGGGAATTTAATTGAAAAACGACGATTATTTAGTAATGCAAGCCAAACAAAATTAAAGCTTGCAAATCAGAAGTGTAAGAAAGCACTGATTAAACAGAGGGATAGAATGAGGAAGCGCTTGCAAACGATTTTCAAATTACAAATAAAACATGAAAATAAACGGTATAACCGATGAATCTATAAACAGATTAAATGAAATAAAAATAGCTAAAACAAATAAACAAAAATTATATCACCAAGCCGCAAATGCACAGAAATATAGAGAGAGGGAGTTGAAAAGGATCTGACAATGAGTAGCAATCTTGAACGGTAAATCCAGCAAACGTACAGAGACGTGAATGCCATTATAAGAATATTTGAATCTATCGAAAGAAACCCATAAAAAGAACAAAACCAAAAAAAATGAGAGAGAGAGAAAAGAGACCTGAAGCGAGGGAGACAAGGGTCCAGTTCCAGCAGGGATGAAGAGCAAGTAGCCGTTGTTGCAGAAGAGATGGGTCGAAGATGGTCTTCCCCCTTCTGCAACAACAACAATAAAAACAGCAATGACAACGACAATAACGAACGCCGACAATAACCAGAACTGCTGCCAATTCAAACCAGATTGAGAGAGACGGAGAAAAAAATCAGAGCAGTCCGTCGTCGTCGGACTCAATTCTCTATCCTACCACCCTCCCTTTTTATTCTGTGCATTCTCCTGCTTCCTTCTTGTTTTCCCCCCCGAGATTTCGCGGGCCAAGACGAGCTCCACCTCTCCTCTTATTGCCACGTGTCATCCTCCCTCATTTAAACAATTCTTTATTTTCTTTTTTTTGTTAATTATTTTATTGGTCCATCGTCTCAAATATCGTGAATCGTGTTCTCAATTCGTTCGTCGTTCCAGACCCGTATTTTGTAGGCATAGCCGCATAGGTGTGTAACTTAGGCGGGTCCGGTCCGATCGGAATCGATTCAGCCCGAAATTTTATACGGGCTGTACTTGATTTTTTTTCCTCGGACCCAAGATATCGAGTTTCGGGCTGAGCCCGAGCTTACTCCTTAGGTAGCTCGAGTCCAAAATTAGAACGAATTTATTAACCAATCGAGGTCAGCCTGAACGAGAGCCTAATTCAAGAGTATCAAATTACAGTACAGGCTGGGATCCGATTGAGAAAATCAGACTTGACCTCTAATTTTACCTAGGTTTAAGCCTTAAGTTCAAATTTTTAAGATTAGGCCTGGATTAACCATAAACCCGACTCAATCCTCCTAACTTTCACCCCTAATAAAAGTATGTGTTACATGGACATTTAGTAATTTGATCGTGTAAAATAATTAAATACTTAGGTAGATAATTAAAATAATTAAATACTTTATACTAATGAACATTAACGATGTCCTAACAGAAGAATTCAGCTCCGATCAGGGTAAAGTTAAAACCCGTTTGAACAGTTTTTACAGCTTTGAGAATATCTCCATACGGAAGTCGATGCCGATTTCCACAAATTTAAGGAAACGTGAGTTTTGGAAAATAAAGCTTTTTGAATTTTTCATAATATCCTTAAGATTTTTCTTAATTTCGCTCAATTTATTAATAAGATGTTAATAACCTAATTTTTATTTTCTTAAAATAATAATTTCAAGGATACAATAAATCAATGAAAAACCTTAAAGTTCACTCATTAATCGAATGGTTTTGATTGATGGAAAGGTTGGCATGTGCAGAGTTTGATCCAGAAGTCATATGTTTACACGTAAGCTTCATGAGGTCGAAGGAGTGGGATACACAGATCATGCAAAGGCAATTCAAATCCAATGGTTCACATTTCACAAATGCAGAGACAAAAGTCCACCAATATGTCGTCTGCTCTCTGTTCTCTGGTTTTTTATGAACGTTTCGTGATAAGACGAGTCAACCCGGGTGCCCGGGTTGGACTTCAGAAACGAATGAATGCAGTTTTTCCCCTCACCATTATAATTAATTAATTAATTAATAGCTGTATTTTATTACGTCAAAATCAGAATGAACTGGCTGGACAAAATGACCAAAATGCTTTTCATTTTACTCAAAATCCCCGTTACGTCGATAAAATACGGTATGTGAAAAATAGGGAGTTGATTTTTCCCAACCTGATCAAATCACTTTAACCGGACTTTTTACCGTACTATAACTATTACTTTTACCATCCAAATCTTATATTACAAAAATCCGGATTATTTAGCTATTATAAATTTTAGTTATGTTTTATGAAAAAATTCCTTGGGTTGGACCCAGAATTGTTGCTACAGAGGCAGAAGCCCAGAAGGCCAGAACTGATGTAATTGTTAGTACCGATATGCAGAATGAAATATCGGCACGTGGATTTTTTGTTAATTTGATATTTTTATTAACAAAAAATAAAATATGCTTTTTTGGGGGCCTAATTTTCATTCCATCATCTAAAATAAAATAAATAAATAAATTTATGTTTTTAGGTTTTGAAGTAAATAATTGATAATCCAGTAAGTTTTTAGTCAAATGTGGATTGACAATCAACCAAGAAGAAAAGAAAGCGAAATGAGTTCATTTGTTGCAACGTTGAATTGAGATTAAACAATCTGACCATTTGAAAAATTAGCGGCACCAAAAGCCTCTAATAGATAGTGGCTTAATAGGATATTGAGACACGTGGTATTTTTATATTTTTTAAATTTAGATATATGGTATTTTTTGATAAATTTATATTAAAGTCCACAACCCATTATCACCATTAAGACTAAGACAAGTGGCTTCTCATTTTTTGGAAAGGTAGACACGTAATTTTTGAGAAATTCCTACTAAAACTCATTACCCACTACCAGCCCCTCACCATTCAAACATGTGGCCTTCTCATTTCTTGAAAAACTAGACATGTGATATTTTTTAATGAATTACTATTAAAGCTCATAATCCACTACCACCATTTAGACATATGGGCATTCTATTAATTCAAAAAATATGATTCAAGAAGTGAGTAGTTTCACTCCTAAACATTCTCAATAAACACTTATTTATTAGCTTAACACATATTTATTCATAGTCTATTAAATACAAATGGTGGGACCCATTAAAAGATTATCATAAACCCATATTTGTTTTTAAATATTTTTTTTCAAAAAGAAAATACTTTATTAATTACAAACTTGATTTAACTTTTAGGAAGCAACCTAATTTAACTTTTAAAAATAAATAACTCAAAATATATTTATTAGATAAATTGTAATACCAAATAAAGTGGGTTATTGTTGACCAATAAGATCTCATCCAATATCTTAAATCAAATTAAAAAAAAAAAAACATAAATTAATAGTGGATTTCAAATAAAATAGGTTAGAATAGATTGTCAATTACAAAGATGCAAGACCCATATTAGTTTTTTTAGTTTAATTTTTGATAACTAAATAGTAAACTTCAAACTAAATTCTACACACATTTAGTTACCCCGAACTTAGTATGGGGGTCATTCTCTAGTGTCTAACATGAAAGGAGCAAAAGAGGGCTGAGCTGAGCATAGAATGTCAAATCAGCATTTAGTTTATCATGGTGATCTATACGCATAGATACTTATAAAATCAAGCATTGATTTATGTGTGTGCCTATCATTGGGGGAAATTTCATTTTAATGTTTCTTCCAATGATTAGGCGTTTATTCACTATTATGCTGATGTTGTGCCTAATGGCACTTAGTGGCGTCTATTTGTCATAAACAGTTGACATTATTACTTGTCTCGACTTTGAAGAAAAATCAAGTACAAATGTTTAGTTAATAAACGGAAGTTCTACCAAATACATACTTTATCTTCAATGTTTTTGAGCTACCCGCCCAACTTGAATCCCAATCTTCGTGAAATTGGGCCAATCACGATACATTCACTAGGTCAATCGCACGTGTGGGTTAGGAATGGCAACGGGGCGAGTTTAGAATGAGGGCCGTATTTCATCTCAACCCTTTGAAACAAATTTCTGTTTTTTACTCTGATCCCGGTTAGGGATAAAAGTAGCCTTCCATTCCTGATCCCCCCTATGGAGACAATTTTTTTTGTCAAGAACCCAAATCTTGAAAATTTTTAAATTAAAAGTTTCTTTATAAAAAAATAGATTTACTTTATTAACTTTTTAAATATAAATAATACTTTAAATATATTTTGACAAACGTTAAGCCATGTATCCAACGAGAATGGGAAAAATTATCGTTCCTGGTGTGAGGTGTCAATGCAATGCTATAATGGTTGACCCAGGTCCAGCATTACAAGCAGAACCTCCATAGAATTGAAACTTGTCTGACATGAAATCGGATTTGGTCCTCATAGCCCGCTCTAATGTATTGGGCAGAGCCTACATTACAGAACCGAAAGAACTGGCCCAATTGTATATAGTCTAGGCCTGCATGACGTGTCTTGGTTATAATTAAGTCGGACGGGTTTTGGTTGTCACGACATTGAATTAACTGTCAATTATAATGGAGTCAGACCAGATAGTCCTAATTAAAATAGTTGGGTCTTATTTTTATTACAACCAACAAAATAACATAAAATATTGAAACAAAAAATAATAATAATAATAATAGATCAGAACTTGCACTTAAATCATTTGCACTATCATAATTTTGCATCATTGCAAATAAATTTATTCTAGGGCCAATATGATTTTATTTCAGATAGATTAGGTTCAATCCAATCCCATGAATACTTTGGACCAATCCAATTTAATGTCTGGAGTGTTCAATCTATTCAAATTAATTTTACTTTAGATCGTCTAGTCCAAACCTGATCTATTGACATCCTTTCACTTATCTTTTGTCAATAAATCGGATATTGATCCAATCCAAAATAAATCCATTATAGATGAATCAAGTCCAATCAAATCGAATGAATACCATTAGTCCTCCAACTCATTCATTCAAATCGATTTTGATTTAAATAGGTTCCAACCCAAACCCTGTTAATTGACACCCCTGGTCAATCCTGACCCGGACCAGATTAAAAAGTGTGGGATGATGAACTCAGAATATTGTTAGCCAACAACTACTAGGGTAGGTCACTAGGTGTTACACAAGATAACTATGAATCTCCCGAGTCACCCTCACTTGGCGATGATAAGTTGGAACATCGGGTCCATCACTCAAGTAACCTAAGAAGACCGTAGGAGGAGGACACGTAACACAAACGAGCAGAAGGTGAACAAAGAGAGTCCTATTAACTTTGGTCATGTGGATTGTGGAGGTTTTATCGCCTTTACCTATCGCAGTCATCAGGTTGTTGGTGGGAATGAGAGAATCTTCCCCCTTTTCAAGCTCTTACTCTTCACGCTTTTTTCCTTTTTGTTGATGGGAGCCGGAGATAATAGGATTAAGGATGCCTCAGGAAATAAGAAAAAAAAAAAAAAAAAAACTACTTTTGCTTTACAAGGGCTGAGTGTACTCTCTAGTCTCTACTGATGATTCATTTTTATTTTCCACGAAAAGAAAAAACCGGCAACCCGGTCACACACAGAGACCAGACAAGTAAATACAAACCTTTCTTTATATTCTTTTTCCATAAAATTTAGAGGGGTTGTCACGACGTACATGCACTGTGCATAAAGTTTTAGTTTTGGAAAAAAGCGGGTGGGTAGTTGGGCAATGGATATGGTAAAAGGGTAGAGCTTTTGTCCATTCGTCTTGGATTCTGATTCATACTTTGGCATTCATGTGATCATGTT